GCGGAAACAGCAGTGACGTCTATTAGTGACTTAAACCACAGGGTTACAAAGAACCAGTGGATTTCTTCAAAGTCTATCACACTGATGGATTCTCGCGAACTCGTCCCATCAGGTTCCGAACATGATGAAGAGCGACAACAAATCAGATCTAGGTTAAGAAAAAGTCAAAGAAACGACCGTGAGCAGTGGTGGGCAATGAAAGCAAAAGAGATGGAAAAGGCTGCGACTATAGGGACCACAAGACAGTTTTACAGACTAATAAAAGAAACTGGAACTAAGACTCGTGAACTGCAAACACGAGAGACTCAAGCTGGCTTCAGACCTGGTCGTGGCTGCATCGACCACATATTCACCATTCGTCAAGTTCAAGAAAACACAGGCATACTTATCGGCGTCCGACAATGGTGGTCTTTCTCGACTTAAAAGCAGCATTTGACTCTGTAGATCGCGAGATTCTGTGGCAGTGTCTGTCATCGAAAGGCGTACCACAGAAGTACATAAACCTTGTAAAGGCTCTTTACTCGAACACTACTATTCGAGTCAGAGCTTATGGCGAACTGTCATCTACTTTTGCAACCTCAAGTGGTGTCCGTCAAGGCTGTCCACTTTCTCCATTTCTGTTTAACTTAATCAAAGATCTACTGATGGAAATAATGCTCTCATTGACTGAATTATCGGGCATTGATCTCCTACCAGGAGGTCCACTTATCGACCTAGAATACGCAGATGACATAGTCCTGTTTGGTGAAGACGCTGACAAAATGCAGTCTCCTGGTAGCACTGAGCAACAATGCCAGAATGTTTGGAATGTGCTTCTCTCCCTCTAAATGCAAGTTGTTGCTTCAGGACTGGTCTGCGTCAACACCTGAACTACGGATAGGGAGTGAAGTAGTCGAACGCGTTGGCAACTTCACTTCTGTTTTAATTTACGGCAGCGAAACATGGCCATTAAGAGTAGAAGACATTCGTAAGCTATTAGTATTTGACCACAGATGCCTTAGAAATATTGCTCGCATCTGCTGGGATCACCGGGTAAGTAATAGTGAGGTTAGACGCAGGGTATTAGGGAATGATGGTAAATCAGTTGATGAGGTTATGAATCTTCATCGACTGAGATGGTTGGGCCACGTGTTACGTATGCCTGAATACCGATTACCACGACGTGCAATGCTATCCGGTATTGGAGATGGTTGGAAGAAAGTTAGGGGTGGCCAAACCAAAACGTGGCATCAGTGCTTGAAGACACTAACTTCTAGTCTGAGCCATGTTGGTAGATGCAGACTACTTGGTTGGGGTCCGCGTGACTATCGTAACCGATGGTTGGAGACTCTGGGTGACATGGCTCAGAATCGATCACAATGGCGTCGGTGTGTACACTCCCTGTCTCCCCTTAAACTAAGAGATTGAAATCACTTCATGTCTTTCTATCTACGAACCAATTCTTTCTTCTTGTACTATATGCAATCTTTCTCTTATATATTACCACCTTTGACCTAACCACTGCTATGAACCCGGTGTTCATCTCGTTGTGCTGATGCGGTATGGCAACCTGGACCGATACACATATGTGCCTGGTCCTACGTTGTAGCTGACTGACTTTGGTTTGGCCGCCCCTTACTTCCTTTCAACCATCTCCAACACCCGTTAGCATTGCACGACGTGGTAATCGGTGTTCAGGCATACGTAACACGTGCCTAAGATAAGTGAATTGATCGATATGTTCAACTAATTTATTCCTTATCAGTAATTTAGGGGGTGACAGTCCAATCCTGAAGTAATATTTTACATTTGGAGGGATAGAACTGCACCTCAGACATACTTGCATTATTGCTTAAGGTGGCTAGAAGACTTCATTTTATCAGTCTTCACTAAAGAGAACCACATCATCTGCGTATTTTTCAGATGTTTCAGCCCCCACAATAGATTGCCGAGATGAAACTGAAGCTAAAGAAACACCGGGAAACTTGGGAAACAGCATTATAAAGTTTCAATACAGCCTTCCTTTGAGATACTGACAAACCCAACGAATTCAAGATAACTCTCAGCATCAGACTCCAAGCCTTATAGGATCTACTGAACGAAGAAACTGTTATGGAGGACAACTGTTAAGGGGCTAAGTAAGTTTTAACTTCAACATGTCAGAAGGTTCTGCGTCGCAAGAAGCATCATCATAAGGAATGGATCTCTATGGAAACCCTGGACAGGATTCAAGAAAGGAAGAACAAGAAGACAGCAATTAACAACAACAGAACAAGAACAGAGAAATTCAAAACACATAGCGAATGTCACTTGTTGACTTGGAATATGCCGATGACATAGTTCTATTTGGTGAAGACGCTGACAAAATGCCGAGTCTTCTGACCACTCTAAGCAACAATGCAAGCATGTTCGGCATGCGATTCTCCCTCTCGAAATGCAAAATGTTGCTTCAGGATTGGGTTGCATCGACACCCGAACTAATGATAGGGAGTGAAGTAATTGAGCGTGTCGATCGCTTCACTTATCTTGGAAGTCTGATCAGCCCTTGTGGTCTGGTGTGTGACGAAATCTCAGCACGGATACAGAAGGCTCGACTAGCTCTTACCAACTTGCGTCATTTATGGCGTAGGCGAGATATCTGTCTACCAACCAAAGGACGTGTTTACTGCGCAGCAGTTCGTTCCATCCTACTTCATGGCTGTGAAACATGGCCGGTAAGAGTAGAGGATATTCCTAAATTACTAGTATTTGATCATAGGTGTCTTCGAAATGTTGCTCGTATATCCTGGGACCATCGAGTAAGTAACGCAGTTGTTAGGAAACGGGTACTACGTAAGGATGGCAAATTGATTGATGAAGTGGTGAAACTACATCAGTTGAGATGTCTGGGACACATATTACGTATGCCCAACGACCGACTGCCTCGATGTGAGATGTTCAGTGGTATAGGAGTAGGTTGGGAGAAAGCTAGGAGCGGCCAGACCAAAACATGGCACAAATCCATGAAGTCACTGACAAGTGGACTGAGTCATGTTGGTAGGTGTAGACTACCTGGTTGGGGACCGCGAGGTTATAGCAACCGATGGTGACATGGCTCAAAATCGTTTGCAATGGCGCAGGTGCATCCACTCTTTGTGTTCTCCCAAATTCTAATCTCCTGATTCCTCCTTGTCTCTTTCTTTTCTCTTCCCAAATTTATTTCACTGGATTATACTCCTTAAATAACATCTCCAAACCCTAATCTTTCCGACTACTGCTTATACTCTTACTACCTCTACCACAATGGGATTTGAATCGACAACTGCATCTCTGTGCTAATGTGGTATGGCAACTCGAACTGATGTACGAATGTACGAAGTTCTACGTTGTTACTGACTGACTGAACGATCGAATAAATCAGGATGGCCATCAGACAAGTCAAGAGTCGGAAGACAACAGGATCTAACAACGTACTAGCCGAAGCACTGAAGTGAGATTTAGTAGCAACTGCAAACATGCTCTACGTTCTATTCAACAAGATTTGGGAGGACGAACAAGTGTTGACAAACTGGAGAGAAGGATACCTCATCAAGATACCAAAGGAAGGAGATCTGAGCAAATGTGAGGACTACAAAGTCGTGACTCTACTATCAGTACCAGCAAAAGTTTTCAAAAGAGTGTTGCTAAACCGGATGGAAGATTCAGTAGATGTCCAACTTCGAGATCAACAGACCGGATTCCATAAGGATCGATCGTGCACTGACAAAGTGCGATACTATGGATCACCGTTGAACAATCAGCTGAGTGGAACTCGTCACTGTACATCAACTTCATTGACTCTGAGGAAGTGTTTGACAGTATGGATAGGATGACCTTGTGGAACTCTCTTCGACATTATGGTGTACCTGTGAAGATCGTAAATATCATACGGAATTCATAAAACGGACTACACTGCGAAGTCGTTCATGGAGGGTATCTGATAGATCCATCCCAAGTGAGGACTAGAGTCAGACAAGGCTGCTTATTTTCAGCCTTTCTTTTTTTCTGGTGGTCGACTGAAATATGAAGACCTCGACATCAGAGGGGAAGCATAGAATACACTGTACAGCTTACATGCAACTAGACGATTTGGAATTCGCAGATGACCTAGCTCTTCTATCCCAAATGAAGTTGCGGACTGCTGATATACTTATCATCTGCTCATTTTTCAGATGTTTTAGCCCCCGCAGTTGATTCAATAACTAACCCAAATACACCACGTTGCCATCAGCCATCGTTTGAGAAGCTCAGTAGAAGAATTTCACTCATTCTGGAGCACTTGTCTAGACTGAAATCATACTCTGGTACGAGCACGTGTTTTTCTATGTCTTACCGGACGTAGAAAACCATTTAACGTCCACGTAATGATAAAAAAATCAGGAACAACTAGACGAGCTAATCAACCATGAAAGTGATACCCACCTCGAGATACCTTATAATAATATCCAAATAAATTTGGGAATACCAGTGTTACTTACAGTAATCTAAATCATAAGGTTACGGAAAGCTAGTGGATTTGCGAATTTTCGAGCCTGTGTGAGCTCGTGTATCTACTGTCGAACGCTACTCAGTTCGATTTGAAGTAGATTGTTTTGGTGAAAGTGGGTTTATTCCTTATTCCCTTTCAAATTTCATGCAATACTACTTCATACAGTTCACTATTTGATTTCACTCTTTTTCAAACCCTTATTATTATCTTGAATTCTTGATGCCATCAGCATCATTTCTACTTCCTTGGTTTTTCTCTCTGTATATCTCCCCTTGTCGATACGATATGGTGTGTTGCAGCTTAAATTGATGCACATTTTATATTATACCTAGAGTTGTAGTCAATATACATTGACTAAATATGTACGTATCCATTCAAATTGATTTATAGACGAGATTGGTTATATTGCAGGGTCCTGTTTCTTTCTACTGGCCAACCAGATATTTGTCTTTTACATACTTCGTTAGAAGCAGCTCCTAACCGTAACAATTCATTTGTCTTCTTATTTATAAAGGGTGAGAGAAAAGGAACAAACAAATACTATCCTCCCGATTTCGATCCTAATCATCACAGGAATCTCAACTCATACCATGGCACACATGCTCTACGTCAACGTGGGAGAAAGGCTGGTCAAGGCATTATCACTATTAGATTTGAAATGCCTTTCAACTGCTGGTGTCTCACTTGTAAAAATCCTATCGGTATGGGTGTCAGATATAATGCAGAAAAGAAAAAAGTAGGGATGTATCACTCAACTCCTATCTACCAATTCTCTATGCCTTGCCATCTCTGTGCTGGTAGAATTGTAATGCAGACGGATCCAAAAAACTTCCAATATGTTATTCTGGAAGGTGCTAGGCGTAAAGTACAAAAGTGGGACTCAGAAGAAAATGAACAAGTCCTTATTGCAGGTAGGTCATGGGTTGTACATTACTTTATTCTTATTGTCATTTAGCTGTAGGCTGTGATTCCAGTTAAAGTAAAAAATGGCATTTGAATCAGCTCTAAGATTTTTTGAATTAATTCCTCATCCTATAACTTGATGGTTCGGAATTTTTGTCGATCATTGCCTTCTGTTACGTCCTTGATCTGTTTACCCACTTTTAGTACTGAGGATAACTTGTCTAATCTAGATTCAGACCTTGACGCGATAAACTGACCGGCTTAACCTTGAGGCTGGTACGCGTGAGTTCGAAGTGGTGTAGAGTGAACAAAACTGGAGATTAGCCTAGAAAATAGAGTACAAAATAATACGTTTAAATTGCAATAGCTTTGGAACAAAAAAAGCTAAGGCAGTGACTCATACATCAAACAAAAGCTTATGATTTTTAGAACAGACTAGGAACAAAAATAAATGTTAATGTTTTACAAGCTTTGAACTAAATGTAATAACGTCCTCCGAAATAGCTTCCGCAGTTTGTCAAGGCTTCTTGTTTCTCTGTTCATATCACCTTCCATTGTGGCTCACTTCATTTTCCCGTGATACTAAAATTAAGACCTTTTGTCGGTATTTTGGATATTGGCAAGTAAATTACTCATTTTCATTTATTATCGTTTGCGTTTAGCGTAATCTTACGTGTCTGTCTTTAAACTATGTACGACAAATGTTGAGTTTTGTAGTAGGGTTTGTCCATTACATGTATAATAATCACTAGTTTTTAATTCGGGACGATGCGCTCTCGGCCTAGCTGTTGCACCGTATGCAAGTGGGTTTATGCTGTGGTTCCATTACATTCAAAAAGCACTCATGCATCTCTCCAACCTATTGTTTATAGCATGGAACTAGATTGCAACAGTCAGCCTGCAGCCCTTCTAGGGTTGCTTCCGGTTCCAAGACCGGATAAAGGAGAAGGTTGAGCGCAAAGTCGGCAACCTCATCACGTGGAGAGGAACCTTGACAAAACAACGCTAACCAGAAAAAACTTTAAACTTTCGCCTGGGAGTTGAAGGATCTTCATTTAGATGTATTATGACGCCTCGTGGAGAAAACGGAGTTTCTTCGTAAATCATGAGGACGATTCGCCTTCTAATAACCAGAGCAACAATTAATATAGGTGTCTGGAATGTTCGGACAATGTGGGAGACTGGGAGGACCAGTTGAATAGCTGAAGAAATGAGGATATAGAAATTGGCGGTACTCGAAGTAAGTGAAACACATTGAACTCGAGCTGGACAGAAAAGATTAGCTTCGGTGGAGATACTGTCTAAAGAAGCATGAAAAGGATTAGAAGCTCATAGCTTCAGAATCATCAAATCATTCTTCAAAACAAAGATGGAGAGTACTACATTGAATGTCATCCAGCGCTTTGCACTCACCAACGATGACGGCGAAAATAATAGGGATTAGTTTTATGGAGTTGCAGTTCATTCTAGAGAAGTACCTAGGAAAGGAGTGACCATCCGGAAGGGAGACTTAAACGCCAAGGTTGGGGTGAACAATGCCGTGTATGAAGATATCATGGGGCAACATAGACTGAGGGAAAGGAACGAGGATTGTGACAGATTCGCACATTTATGTGCATTCAACAAATTGGTTATAGGCGGCACGAAGAACCAGATCGATCATATTTGTATCACGAAAAAATTCAAAAGGACAATGGAAGTCGTGAGAACCAGGAGAGAAGCTGAAATAGTTTCAGAACACCACCTGGAGATTGCCGAGATGAAACTGAAGCTAAAGAAACACCGGGAAACTTGAGAAACAGCATTATAAAGTTTCAATACAGCCTTCCTTTGAGATACTGACAAACCCAACGAATTCAAGATAACTCTCAGCATCAGACTCCAAGCCTTATAGGATCTACTGAACGAAGAAACTGTTATGGAGGACAACTGTTAAGGGGCTAAGTAAGTTTTAACTTCAACATGTCAGAAGGTTCTGCGTCGCAAGAAGCATCATCATAAGGAATGGATCTCTATGGAAACCCTGGACAGGATTCAAGAAAGGAAGAACAAGAAGACAGCAATTAACAACAACAGAACAAGAACAAAGAAAGTCAAAGCACGGGTTGGATACACAGAAACAAAGAAGAGGGCGTACAGGAGCATTAGAGCTGACGATTAGAAATACTCGGAAGACCTAGCAAAGCACGGGTAGCATTCCTACAATCGTGCTTCGGTTTAGACACCCGGGCAGTATGTCAGCCTTCACACAACTCAATGATAACTACTACCGGCCTGATTGTTATTGTGTGGCGCATTTATATTTGGTGCCCTATTGTACCAATGTTTGTGTATTCAAGTAATTCGGTAAATAATAAAATCCTGCAATTATAGATTATATAGAACTCAAAACAACTGTCAATCAATATCAAAGTCAGAATATTCATTACGAACGTCAAGACAGATCTACTGTACAGAGCTGAGATCTAGAGAACTACTATAACCATCACCAAAAAGCGCAGTTATTTGTGAACAAGCTACTCAATGTTCGTTGGCCGGATACCATCAGCAACAACCTACTGTGGGAGAGAACAAACCAACTTCCAGCTGAGGAGGAAATTGGGAAAAGATGCTGAAGATGGATAGGACATACATTACGGAGATCATCAAACTGCGTCACGAGGCTAGCCCTAACTTAAAATCCTGGAGGTAAAACGGAAAGAAGAGGACCAAGGAACACATTTCGTTGGGAATTGGAGGCAGGCATCAGAAGAATGAATAGCGATCGGGAAGAACTGCAAAGGACTGCCCAGGACAGAGTTAATTGGAGAATCCTGGTTGGCGATGTATGCTCTCACGAAGGGTTATAAGCTTAAGTAACGAAGTGCAGTAGGTAAACCGATCATCATTTTATGAAGTCATTATCTGTATGTTCGAAGTGTGTATGGAAATGTCGATTTTCCGATAATAATTCTCAAAATCATAGGATTTGGTATTTGGAGAATTACTGTCAGCTTAAAAATCTGTCACAGTATAAATTAGATACTCACTATTATTAGCTTGTCTGTAAGCAAATTATTATTTATTTGCATCCCTGTTTACTCATATATTTCTCGTTAATTTTGCATTCGTGTTCATCTTCTCCCCACCTCATTCGGGTATTGTGGCGTCCCGGCCTAACAGTTAGTTATCGGTAACTGTCTGCTGTAATTTCTCTCAGACAACAGATTATTCACCGTAAGTAGGAATTTTAAGTATAAAGAAAGACACTGTCTAACCTGCGGACTTCCAACATAACGATTAGCACAAACAAATCATATCGCCGTCAGTCATATTCGGTAGAAAACTGCCGCTTCTACTGGAGTGCATATTTGGACTCCGATCATGTCCTAGTGAGAGCACTGATTTCTATCCATCTTACTCGATAGGGAAAGTCGAAGCAGGTAAACCCTTCTGATGTGAATTTGAAGATGCTTATGTCAGTGTTGCAGGGAACAATTAGTCAACCACTTATTCATCCTGAAAAATCTTGGAAAGATATGCAGACACCAGCGACACCATTAACGGTATATATGTCAAAAGTTAGGAAAGATAAGTGGATTTCAGTAACATTTACCGAATTGATTTGGGTGTAAAAGCTCATCCCAACAAGCTTGGAAAACGATGAAGATCGACGACAGCTCAAACGAAAGCAAATAAAAAGTATGCCAAGCGACAGGACCTGATGGCTTAGCCCTAGTTTTAACATTTATGTTGAATAAGATCTCAGCTAGAACTTTGGGCGCAGACGTAATTCCGTTTGACTCGTCCCAATCACTAATCATTTCAGTTTATGGTAATCACAGAGGGATCAGTTTGACTAAAATAGTGTCTCAAGTATTAGCCTCAATAATCTTTTAACGGTTATATGGGGCTTGTGAACAGCGAACTTGGAAGGCCCGGTCGGTTTTAGACATGGACGTGGATGTGTAGTCCGAATATCCACACTTCATCAGTTTTCAGAACACAAGCATGCTTACAGACCCTCGACTTTAGTGATATTCCTTAACCTTAAGGCATCATTCGACTGTTAACCTAGAGGACATAGCGAACTGTCACTGGGATTTCCAACCTTAGGTGGTATTTTCCAGAGTTGCCCACTGTCTCCCTTCTTTCAGGTTGGTTGGAGAATCCTGGTCGGCGGCGTATGCTGCCACGAGGGCTAACAGGTGTATGTAAGTAAGCGATTTCTTCCCGTGCATAATTTTTGCACATTTCAGCTTCGTTGATTTCCCTGCAGTAATGAGTATTGATTTGGATGGCATTGGTGGTCCCTGTTCATCCCTTATATTTCTTATAGATTCGTGTGTGGTGTCACTAACCACATCCCCTGATCTCTCATTCCTTTGACAACCGACAATTTTTAGCTTGGTGGTTTATCTTTAATCAGATTTCACATTACTTACTTTTTAATGAGAATTCTACTTTCTTATCAACATCTTGAGCTGTGAATTTTGGACACTGGTCTTGTAAATTGATTTTTGAACATAACATGATTTCGCAAAGAGGCTTGTTTTTCTAAGCGAACTGGCTTTATTCTTAAAAATATCGGCATATGTCATTCCAGCCTCTTATACTCTGTAGTAAACTGTCTTTTCACAGTCCAATGATCTGTGTTATCACGACTGGTTGAGCGTCTGTCACCATGAAACCTGTATATCGGATTGCTCCTTCACAAATGCCTAATATCAATAAATGTGGGTTCTCGGTCGTTTTTAACAATCCCACAGGTTTCTTTAGCCCAATAATGCTGCGTTTGCACTGGGAGTTTTAAGATTATATCTTCTATAGTCCTGAAATGTAGTTCATCTGCTTTAGAGTTAACTCACACATCGTCATCTCTCAATATAGCTTCTTCAAGGTGTCTGGATAATTTCCTTTAATACTGGGAAAGCTTAATAGCTCATCAATAAACGTCCTTACTGTGATGTGTTTTTGACCGAATTCTTCGATTAGTATTTCTAGAACTTTACGGTAGCCAATTTCCGATCTTAGTGAGGCACAGTATGGTATGACTGTCTTTGCTTCCCCATCGCAATTTTGGATAAGGTAATTTAGCTTCTCTCTAAATCCACTTTTCCTATTAACGATGAATTCCTTGAAACTTCTTGTGAAATTCCAGTAATTTGCAGGTGTGTCGTTGAACCTCAGGATTTCCTTCTTTAGTAAATATAGACTTTTTAATATTACACTGTCATTATCAGTTATTGATTGATCGGAACTTTCCCCTTCCCGATGATGTAACCTCTCTAATTCAATTATTTCTCTCTCCAACTGAACTACACGTAACCTAGCTAACTCGAATTATATCAGGTGGTTGGTTATGAGTTCATTCCTTTCGAATTGGTCTTCATTATAATCTCCCAGACGATGAGGTGACAACTCTGGAATCTCATTGAAATAGTAGTATTTATTGGAAGTCATTTCACTAAGTGTATCGATTCACTGTTCAAAACTTTGTAGGAATTAATTTCCTACAGACGCAATTCTAAATTAATCCCCAGACTGTCGAACATTGAGTCTTAGTTTGATCAAAGTTAGAACATGTAAGCTATTTGGCTTAATAAACTTTATCTGTCTCTAAAACGTAAATGAATACTGTTAGCATACAAAAAACAATTATTACAGTCTATTAAACAGGGGAAAGGAGTGATATAAATAACACACCGAACGGTAATTAGAGGATAAGAAAAAATGAGTCAACGAAACTTAATATCTTCAGTTTGGGGTTGTGGGGATTGTCAAATTTCCTTGAAATCATGAACTGATCAGTGTTAGATCACCATTAAAAACCTGGAAGCACTGGACAGCCGTTTGTCCTAGTATGGGACTCTCGGAGTTCTAGTGAGAATCCGTGAGCAGTGGAGTTCAACCGTGTCGGGTGTGAGGCAGTTACCGACCAAATATAATGAAAGATGGTCGCGTAACATCGTGCATTGGTTAAAGTTAGAGATTGACATCTTTGGATGCCAACTCACTGGTCTAGAAGTTAAGCGTTCGCTGAATAGGTCACCAGGCGTTTGTTTTTTCCTCTCTGATAAAGTCCACGGATTCTAATATTAAGAATTCACTTTAACGTTTTAGTCACCACCGTCTGATAAATGTTACAAACTATGTGATATTGTTGATCTAAAAAGGTTCAAATCCCCAATCAACGGAGAGATCGGAATGAAGAGGTTAATTCCATGTTAGTTTTATAATAAAAACCCAAATAAATTACAGAATGAGCCTCAGGAAGTTAATCTGATGTATAAAAATTGGTCTCAGAAATCACTGACAATCTGCATATAATCTGCATGGATATCGAAAACCAATGTCTTGTCGTGTCCATTATAATGAATAAGTATTAGTAAGTGATAGTAATGATAAGTATACCATAATATGATCAGAAGTTGGTTCCTGTTACGTATACACACCTCACTAATAGTTTCCTTGTTTTTTCCTTAATTCGTTTTTTAATTAAGTCTTTTCTGTCGAAGTTTGGTAGCATTTTTCTCTGTTCTGATAACCATGATAAATTATTTCGTATGGTTTACCTGTACGATCCTACTTATTATTAGGTGTATTCAGTTAATCCGTATCAGTTAGAGACAGGTATCTACCTCAGACAATGGAAGATGTTCGCGCAGTTTCATGGATTGGTTGAAGCTAGACATTAACACCGTTGGATGCAGGCTCAATGGTCTAGAGTTGATGCATTTGCGCGTGACATCGAATTTCGTGGTTTTGAATCTCGCTTGCGGGATTGTGGGTGCGAACTGCTGAGGAGTCCCGTACTAGTATGAAACGGCCGTCCAGTCCTTCCAGGTTTTCATTGGTAGTCTAACATTCCTTGATTCATGATCTCCGTCAAAAGCTTAACGATCTCTACAACCCTACTCCGATAATTTGAAAGTTTTTGTTGATGTGTCAGGGTTCTCCACATTTGTCCAGATATAACCAATTTTTCTCCCCCACGATCTTTAATTACGGCGTCTTGTAATGATTACCTTCCCACTGTCTATTCAAATTATATTCTCTAGGTTTTGTCTTTCATGTTATCTTCGCTACGATGTTATTTCACTCACCTTTGTTATTTTCATCTCATTGTGCATACTGGATAAGGTAACTCGGGCTAACTCACATTTCTTCTAAACTTTATTTTGATGATATACTTCGATGGATTTCTGTACAAGGTTCGACGTTGTTTCATTTCTTATCCATTTTTATATTTTTTTGAAGATAATTTAAAATATTGGTGAGTAAAACAACTTATTAATGTCTACTTCAGACCGAGATTTCAGTGAAAATTCCGCACTTAAATTTTAAAAATATAAGTTCATTCTGAATATCAGACGTCATTAATTGATATCACTGGTGTGAGAATAAAAGAGAGTAGTTAATGGACGTGATATAGTGTCCGTAGTTATGGTATTTACTTTGTACTTTCGAAGTGCAAAGTACTTTTACAAGACTGACAGGAATCCGATCCTTTACTCGCCCTGGGTAGTGAGCAGATAGAAGTAGTCGAGAAGTTCGTCTATCTAGGTAGCTGCTTAAGTGCTGGTGGTGGCGTGAGTGATCAGATCAATCCACGTATAGCAAAAGCCAGAGCGGCTTATGCCAATCTGGGCCATCTGCGCCTACAACGCGTCGGTGAGAGCAGTTCTGCTCTATGCTCGTAAAACCTGGCCTCTCCGAGTTGAGAATGTTAGACGAATCTCTGTGTTTGATCATCGTTGTCTCCGAAGGACTGCTGACATCCAGTGGCAACACCATGTCAGTAATGAAGAGGTTCGGCATCGTGTGTTCGGGCGCACAGACGATAGTTCAATTGGTTTCATCATCTTGAAACATCGACTTCGGTGGCTTGGACATGTTCTACGAATGTCGTCACAGAGGATTCCACGTCGTGCATTATTTGCCGACTCTGGGACTGGTTGGAAAAAGCGAAGAGGTGACCAGTGTATGACATGGTGTCGTGGTATGAAAGGAAGCTTTACAGAACTGGCTTCTGTCGGTTCTTCACGACTCCCTGGTTGGGGTCCTAGATATGGTGCAACACAGTGGCTTGAGATTTTATCGGACATCAACCAGTCAGCTACATCGTAGGACCAAGCACATTTATGCATCGGTCCAAGTTGCCATACCTCACTAACACAACAAGATGAACATCGGACATGGCTCAGAATAGAAGTCGGTGGCGATCCTGCTGTAACTTTCTTTTACTCTCTTCACAAAAATGAACGTGTTCAAATAAATAAATATCACTGGAAACAACAGTCGTTTCTCACTTAAGTCTAACTGAATAAGAGTTCACCATTTACTGTTGTTAAACTGTTATTTAGCATTAGATATTTTTTAAACTTTTCATCTGAAATACAAACTGTACTGCTTATGTTTGCTAGCTAGTACCTTCTGTCGTCAAAATAATTAAGGTGTATTTCTCTGTGATTTGTAGATCACTCTGAAAAGAAGCAGCTCGCTACTGATGCCATGTATCATTTGGAGCACAAAGTAACTGACAAGAGGAAAGCAAGTGAGATCATACCAGCAATTCAAGAAGTCCAGATTGATCGTTTGAGACACGAAGATGACTTTACTTTGAATCAAATTGCTCGTAAAAAGTTTCGTGTATGCTTTGTGTTATTTTTTAAAAAATGTCTTTCAGGTCGTTATGCTTTTCATTATTATAATCATAGCATACTGACCCAACTCCACCTGTAAGTCCTAGAGTTACTGCTGGTCCCAAGCCCGGGTGAAGGAGCAGTGTTGGGCATGTGTTTGGCAACCCCATCCCGTAGAAAAAACCTTGTTGAAAAACGCTAACCAGAATGAACAAATTAAACCATTTAAACTCTCCTGGGACTTGAAGGAAGAATTATGACGCCGAGATTTTTCGGAAATTACGAGACCGATATCTACGAAAATGAGGAGATACAAGTTGGCGGTACTCGAAATACGTGAAATACATTGGATCCAAACTGGACATCAAAGGTTAGGTACGGAAGAGATGCTTCTGTACTCCGGTCACGAGAAGGAAAGTACACCACACTTAGGGACTTGCTCTGATGCTGTCAAAAATGCTCGAAATGCATTTATTGGGTGGGAATCTCATGAATCTAGGATCATCAAAGCATCGTTCAAAACGAAGGAGGGAATTACAATGAATGTTCTTCAGTGTTATGCACCCACCAATGGTAGCAATGACGACGATAAAGATCAGTTTTACGAGAGGCTCAAATCCTGACCGTTGCTGCTACCTTGATGTGGTGGTCAGGCTTGCCTGTCGTACTGAACTAATCGAGCTATACTGGCTGGAACAATCGATCCTCAAAGTCCTACGTGCCTGACAGGTCGATTGATGAGCGGTAAGACTAAAAGCAACAAACCCAAGGTCCGAAGGCGAAATCGTACTGCTGACTCTATATAGGTGTGACGGCAGTAAGGTATTTCCTTTAGACAACCATCATGACAATGATGCTGCCTTCCCACAAGGAGGGCTGGAGTTTGAAAAGTCGACCCCAAAAATGCACACCTCGCCTTATCTCACGGATAACCGTCTCCGGTGGTAAGGTCTCAACAAACACGGAGCTAACACGAAAATTACTCACAAAATGGTCGTGTGTGACCGACCTCAAGCAGTTGTCCCTTGGGTACTGCGGTTACGCTCTCAGGTCACTAAGACCACCTCTAATCCGATTTCCTTTTCAGGTACCTCCAGAAGAACCCTTCCACGGTGTGGGCAACCGGGAAGTGATAACCGCCCTCATACCTCTAACAGCACTTAAAGACCACTGTATTCATAATCAATCTCCCTCTTCAATTCCTATCATTCCTCCCACCTCGACTTTGAACCCCAAACTTCCTCTTTCGGCTTCCTCCTCAAGTGTCACCCTGGTCAACGATTCTAGTGCTCAAAACACTGTCCCAGGTCTACTGAAACCTCGCTCCAAACTACACATTGGAGACTTCAGCGTAAGCACCCTATGTCAAATCGGTCAGCAGGCTTCCTTGGCTAAAACCCTAGAATCTCTTACCATTGATGTATGCTGTGTCTCCGAAACACGCATACAGGATCCTAGTGTGGCCATTCACTTGACCTCACCTCGGCAAAACGGAAAGCCGACGAGATACACCCTCAGTGTATCTGGCGACCCGATGGTTAGTTCTCGTGAACTGACGGTCGTAGGCATAGCACTAAGTACGAGGGCAGAAAAAGCACTATTAGAGTGGATTCCCGTTAACTGTCGCCTATGTGCTGTTCGGCTAAACGGCTGAGTGGGAATTCGGAAGGATAGGGACACACGTCATTCTCTTTTCGTCATTTCTACCATTTAGGTGGGTATTTTAGTATCACGGCTCAGCAAACAGATAACGGTGATCGTCTGCCGCAAATGTGCTCAGACAATCGTTTATTTTTGGCAAGCACAAATTTTAAGCATAAGGAGAGACATCGCCTAACCTGGCGACCTCCTGCACCAAACCAACGGTGGACTCAAATAAATCATATTGCCATCAGTCATCTTTGGAGAGGGTCGATAGGAGATTGTCGCTCGTTTTGGGATACCTGCTTGGACTCCGACCACGCCATAATACGGGCACGCATCTGATTGCGCCGCACTGGACGCAGGAAAGCCACATTAAGAAAACCCATTAGGATTGAATTGAGTGACGAGAAGGCCGAACCACTGAGGTCTCATTTAGGTAGTTCTGAGAACGAGGCTGACCCAGATGTTGCTTGAAAAGATATACAATCAGCTGTGGAAACAGCAGTGAAATATGTCAGTGATTTAAACCAAAGGGTTACAAAGAACCAATAGATTTCTTCTAGGTCTACTGCATTGATAGATTCTCGTAAACTCATCAAATTTGGATCCGAACACGATGAAAAACGAAAACAAGTCAGATATAGGTTAAACAACAATGCCAGGCTGTTTGGGATGCGTTTCATCACCTCTAAATAAAAGTTGTTGCTCAAGGACTGGTCTGTGTCAACACCTGGACTAAGGATAGGGAATGAAGTAGTCGAACGCGTCAACAACTTCACTTATCTTGGAAGTCTGATTAGTCCTAATGAGTTGGTGTCTGACGAAATATCTGTACGGATCCAGAGTGCTCGTTTGGCTTTTGCCAACTTACGTCACCTATGGCAAAGGCGAGATACCTGACTGCCGAATAGGGGACGGATATACTACACAACAGTTCGTTCTGTTCTAATATACGGCTGCGAAATATGGTCGTTAAGAGTAGAAGATACTTGTAAGCTACTAGTATTTGACCACAGATGCCTTAGAAATATTGCTGGCATCTGCTGGGATCATCGGGTAAGTAATAGTGAAGTTAGACACAGGGTATTAGGGAATGATGGTAGATCCGTTGATGAGGTTGTAAATCTTCATCGACTGAGACGGTTGGGCCATGTGTTACATATGCCTGAACACCGATTACCACGACGCGCAATGCTGGTTGGAAGAAAGTTAGGGGTGGCCAAACCAGAAAGTGGCATCAGTGCTTGAAGTCACTAACCTCTAGTCTGAGCCATGTTAGTAGATGCAAATTACTTGGTTGGGGTCCGCGTGACTTTCGTAACCGATGGTTGGAGACTCTTGGTGACATGGCTCAGAATCGGTCTCAATGGCGTCGGTGTATACACTTTCTTTCTTCTCTTAAACTATGAGATTAAAATTATTTCATACCTTTCTTTCTAATACTATATCCTTACATAAAATCTTTCCTTTATTTATTACACCATTTAGTTAACTTTTTCTATGAATCCGGTTTTCGTCTTGCTGTGCTAATGAGGTGTAGCAACTTGTACCGATGCATGCATGTGCCTGGTTCTACGTTGTAACTGACTGACTGATTCCTTGAAAGCTCCGACTTTAAGGACAAGTAAAATCAATGAGTCACAACGTGGGACTTGTACCTATGTACATCAATTCAGGTTGCCATACCCGATTAGCACAGAGATCTCAGGTCAGGTCAAGTCCCAGATTAGTATAGATAGTTACAGTATCAGTCGTAATAGGAGAGATTAGGCATCGAAGATACGACTCGAAAAGAAAATATAAATTAGTGAGACAAAAACAAAAAAGAGTGATGGGGGATTTAGTGTCTCAGAATTTGGTGGAAGACAAGGAATGGATCTACCTACACCACTGGAGACAATTTTGAGCATTTTTATTCAAAATTTGTAACCATTGGTTACGATAATCACGCAGACCCAAACCTGGTTGTCGGCATTTACTAAAATGGCTTCGTCCAATCTTCTGTGAATTCATAAACTGACGCCATGTATCGGTTTGACCGCCCCTAACTTTCTTCCAGCCTACTCCTGCACCAGAAAACATCGTCCACCGAGGTAGGCGATGGTTGATTATACATAACACATCCCGATCACCTCAGTTGATGAAGATTTAATACTCATCTATCGGTTTCCCGTCTTTACTTAGTACTTGGTTTTTAACCAGGCATTACTTACTCTATGGTCCCAAAATGTGCGAGCATTGCTTCATAGACACCTGTGATTAAATACCAGTAACCTGTGAATATCCTCTACTATTAATGGCCATGTTTCACATCCATAAAGCAGAACGGAGCGAACTGTTGTGCAGTAAACTCACCTTTTGGCTGGATGACAGATATCTCGCCTACACTACAAGTGACGCAAGTTAGAAAAAGCTAATCGAGCCTTCTGAACCCGTACCGACATTTCGTCAGAAATCAGAACATCAGCACTGATGAGACTCCCAAGATAAGTGAATTGATCGATATGTTCAACTAATTTATTCCTTATCAGTAATTTAGGGGGTGACAGTCCAATCCTGAAGTAATATTTTACATTTGGAGGGATAGAACTGCACCTCAGACATACTTGCATTATTGCTTAAGGTGGCTAGAAGACTTCATTTTATCAGTCTTCACTAAAGAGAACCACATCATCTGCGTATTTTTCAGATGTTTCAGCCCCCACAATAGATTGCCGAGATGAAACTGAAGCTAAAGAAACACCGGGAAACTTGGGAAACAGCATTATAAAGTTTCAATACAGCCTTCCTTTGAGATACTGACAAACCCAACGAATTCAAGATAACTCTCAGCATCAGACTCCAAGCCTTATAGGATCTACTGAACGAAGAAACTGTTATGGAGGACAACTGTTAAGGGGCTAAGTAAGTTTTAACTTCAACATGTCAGAAGGTTCTGCGTCGCAAGAAGCATCATCATAAGGAATGGATCTCTATGGAAACCCTGGACAGGATTCAAGAAAGGAAGAACAAGAAGACAGCAATTAACAACAACAGAACAAGAACAGAGAAATTCAAAACACATAGCGAATGTCACTTGTTGACTTGGAATATGCCGATGACATAGTTCTATTTGGTGAAGACGCTGACAAAATGCCGAGTCTTCTGACCACTCTAAGCAACAATGCAAGCATGTTCGGCATGCGATTCTCCCTCTCGAAATGCAAAATGTTGCTTCAGGATTGGGTTGCATCGACACCCGAACTAATGATAGGGAGTGAAGTAATTGAGCGTGTCGATCGCTTCACTTATCTTGGAAGTCTGATCAGCCCTTGTGGTCTGGTGTGTGACGAAATCTCAGCACGGATACAGAAGGCTCGACTAGCTCTTACCAACTTGCGTCATTTATGGCGTAGGCGAGATATCTGTCTACCAACCAAAGGACGTGTTTACTGCGCAGCAGTTCGTTCCATCCTACTTCATGGCTGTGAAACATGGCCGGTAAGAGTAGAGGATATTCCTAAATTACTAGTATTTGATCATAGGTGTCTTCGAAATGTTGCTCGTATATCCTGGGACCATCGAGTAAGTAACGCAGTTGTTAGGAAACGGGTACTACGTAAGGATGGCAAATTGATTGATGAAGTGGTGAAACTACATCAGTTGAGATGTCTGGGACACATATTACGTATGCCCAACGACCGACTGCCTCGATGTGAGATGTTCAGTGGTATAGGAGTAGGTTGGGAGAAAGCTAGGAGCGGCCAGACCAAAACATGGCACAAATCCATGAAGTCACTGACAAGTGGACTGAGTCATGTTGGTAGGTGTAGACTACCTGGTTGGGGACCGCGAGGTTATAGCAACCGATGGTGACATGGCTCAAAATCGTTTGCAATGGCGCAGGTGCATCCACTCTTTGTGTTCTCCCAAATTCTAATCTCCTGATTCCTCCTTGTCTCTTTCTTTTCTCTTCCCAAATTTATTTCACTGGATTATACTCCTTAAATAACATCTCCAAACCCTAATCTTTCCGACTACTGCTTATACTCTTACTACCTCTACCACAATGGGATTTGAATCGACAACTGCATCTCTGTGCTAATGTGGTATGGCAACTCGAACTGATGTACGAATGTACGAAGTTCTACGTTGTTACTGACTGACTGAACGATCGAATAAATCAGGATGGCCATCAGACAAGTCAAGAGTCGGAAGACAACAGGATCTAACAACGTACTAGCCGAAGCACTGAAGTGAGATTTAGTAGCAACTGCAAACATGCTCTACGTTCTATTCAACAAGATTTGGGAGGACGAACAAGTGTTGACAAACTGGAGAGAAGGATACCTCATCAAGATACCAAAGGAAGGAGATCTGAGCAAATGTGAGGACTACAAAGTCGTGACTCTACTATCAGTACCAGCAAAAGTTTTCAAAAGAGTGTTGCTAAACCGGATGGAAGATTCAGTAGATGTCCAACTTCGAGATCAACAGACCGGATTCCATAAGGATCGATCGTGCACTGACAAAGTGCGATACTATGGATCACCGTTGAACAATCAGCTGAGTGGAACTCGTCACTGTACATCAACTTCATTGACTCTGAGGAAGTGTTTGACAGTATGGATAGGATGACCTTGTGGAACTCTCTTCGACATTATGGTGTACCTGTGAAGATCGTAAATATCATACGGAATTCATAAAACGGACTACACTGCGAAGTCGTTCATGGAGGGTATCTGATAGATCCATCCCAAGTGAGGACTAGAGTCAGACAAGGCTGCTTATTTTCAGCCTTTCTTTTTTTCTGGTGGTCGACTGAAATATGAAGACCTCGACATCAGAGGGGAAGCATAGAATACACTGTACAGCTTACATGCAACTAGACGATTTGGAATTCGCAGATGACCTAGCTCTTCTATCCCAAATGAAGTTGCGGACTGCTAATATACTGACTATCAGCAACCTCCAAAACAGTAGGTGTCGACGTAGACAATGGGAAGAGAAGCAGAAAAGAGGCATGTCAACGTCGGTAGTCGTAAAGAGACATCTCGAAAGAATCACCCATTTTAGTGTTCGATGGATAGTGCTCTTATGTGGCCTAATCCTATCCACGAGGGGCATCAGGTGTATGTTAGTAAGTATACTGGCCTGTAAATTTTCGTAGGTCAGTTGTGAAAAATTAGAAGTGAACAACGTAAAATACGGACAATATTATCCTAAGATCTTTTATCTTAGTAACTAATAAACTGTCGGATTACCTTCGTGCTTTTGGAGTTCTGACTTTTGATAATTGTATTCAATTTGTCCTCTATCAGTTCTCTCTATATATGTTTCATTGGCCGTAAACGAAACGAAATTCCAAATTACTTTATTCAGTGAGTTTTTTCTTAGTTGCTTTCAACTCATAAACTTTTTTACTTTAGGAAGCCAAAAAGCAATCTGAGGAAAAATTGGTCAGAGATAACTCTCTCTTAAACCGCTTATCACTAACTGGGTCTCACGTTGAACTTCTTCCTGAAACTGAGGACGACTCAACTATGGCAAAAGTTATGTTCCTTACACATTCGAAACGTAGTAAGTTTTTTTAATATGAACCATATGCATCGTTTATAAGTTCCCATATAGTGTATGTAACACGTTTATTTGTTGTGTGTTGTTGAAAAATGTAATTGAAATAATAATAATGCAAATTATTAATCAGTTACAGTAGGTATTGTTAGCGTAATGTGGATTGGTTTTAAGTATGTTCCGTACAGGATTGTGTTGGGGCATGGTCATTGGCCATTTCTGAGCCAACCAGCGCTAGTGGATACTTAGAGAGGACTCTAGAATCTTCTTGTATAAATAAATACAATAACGTTTTTCTTATAACGATTCCTACTTCCACTCAACCTTTGTTTATTTGAAATATACGTTCCACCCCACCCATATTTTGATTTAGGGGTTTATCGGGTGAAGTAAAGTGTCCTAAAAATACTACGTAATAGGAATAGCTGGGTTTTAATAAGAGAGATCATAACCAGGTGACCATTATTTTCACTAATCTGAAGTGTTGGTCTAAGCGCTTCAATGAACGGATATCAGATGACAAAATAAATGGTCACCAAAACTGCATAGTTTTATATTCCGAAATTACACAGTTATATCCAGAATTTTTAGCGCTAATATGAACAATTAAAATAAATTTAAAAAACATCAATAATTGTAGGGTTTATATTTCGTGGGTCATTCACTAGCCTGTAAAATTAATAAATAATTGTCAGACTTGCTCCTCGCTATATCATAACCAGTTACATATTTGCGCTTGCTGATTGTTTGCCCAAACCGAAGTATTTGAGGGATGGTTTTTAGGCCGCAACTCAGTGTTTGGAATCCGATCTATAAAACCGGCGAATTGCCTAATCATTTCTTCGCTCTTTACGCTGCTTGTTAAATAGGGATCAATTTTGTCAACAGTAAACCAGGTGAAGACGGTAAATATACGGGTGCTATGTTAATAATAATATGTTCAAAACCTGAAGCGTGACAAATTAATGTTTGCATTAATTGCATTGAACTTAGCCACTTCACGTATTATTTGTATTTTACGTAAATGGATGTAAATATATCCATATACCAATGTATCCTGGAAGTTTTACTACTAATATTTGAATTTAATGAATCCGAAAATATACAATCGTTCGATGCAGCGGTATTTAAATCACAGTTCTTATTTTCCTTATTTTTTTAAAAATTATCTGATTCTTACTTCGCTTTTAAACTTGCTTACAGTCAACTAATCATACCACACTACGTAGCAAGTTCTCCGTCATTTCAGTTGTTCTGACCTGAAGCAGATAGCGACCAGTCAACTAAAATCTTGTTTACCTCCCATATTTTGATTAATATGAATCATTTTTCAGTACGAAGTGACCACCTGGAAATCGGGGAGCACTAGATGTCTATCTAATTTTTGCTAGGAAATCTCTTGTAATTCGCATCCATGACTTTCGAGTATCGGTGAATACAATACTTTTAGGTCCATTTCCAAGATCAACTATAGACTATGTGTATAAGCATGTGCGTTATTCTAATGTTTTGTGGTTATATTAAAAATTTCTCACTAATATCAGTCTTATTTTCGCACTTCCCGAACAGGTCAGAAGTATGTACCTGTGTATAGTTTTTATGTACTAAATTTATAAATCGTGGAGCTGTGGTTCAGTCTACGCAACTCTACAGTGGCTCGTCGTTTACTGGGTTCCAAACATAGGTCAAGTTTTCGAGTGGGTTCGAACCTTGTGAAGTATTATAACCTACTGAACGTTTCTTTCAATTAAACCTAATCTTGTATAATGCTGTTAGTTAGACTTTAAAAGTTTGGTATGAAAATGTTTCCAGGTTTTAAAACGCTTCACATCCGTGGTAGACAAACGTAATTTATAACCATTGGGTTAGAGGTTGAGATTCGGTCCCATGTACTTCATTCTGTGGAGTTTAAGAGTAGACTTTAGTTGAACATAATTCTGTCACCAATTATTTGTACCCGTACTAAATTGTGAGCAACAATTAGTGTTCAAGATCCTATTGGAATATCCTTACCTTATTTATTTTGGTCGACATTTTACACTATTGTGTCGGACCCACAATGTAGTACAGTACTTGGCGTAAAGTAAATTTTAGTGCTGATTATAAACGGCTTTCCGTGACCATAAACACCTCTTCTTCATCACATTAAGCCCGATTATCAAAGTTGTTCTTATCGACTATCACTTCTAATGTCTTTACTCCTCAACCCAATATTAACCAGTTTATGTGATATTACAGCTGCGTGACACTGATTTTTATAAAAATATCATTATAAATAGTCTGGATTGCAATCTCAGACTTCTTTTTATAAATTTCGTCCCATTAACGGGTAAAATTTATAATTATATATCTATCTGTTCATAGTTTAATAATGAGAGCACGAATGTTAAGTACATCATGAAATTTCCTTTGTTCTACAGAAGTCATGGCGAGTGGTTTCGAAATCCACGTGCACCCTAGAGTAGTCAAAGTTCGTTTCACTTATGAATATCCTCAACTTTATAAGTATTTGGTGTATTGTACTTCCAACCTTTTTTTTAACCTTCAGATATAACCGCAAATCCTTTGAATTCTACGTCTCTCATTCGTAATAGAAACTCACATGTGCCAGCTTCTAAAGCCAAAAGTGCATCGAAAGCTGATAACATCAAAAAGTCAACTATATCAACGTTAAAAAAGACTCCAAGGATGTCGATGGATTTGATTATCTATCGTCCTTGTAAAAGTAAGAAACTAATTAACAAGTCTGGGGACTCTGGAATTGAAGAAAATGAATCCTCTCTTTCAACTCCCAATCGCTTTTGTAATCACGTGACAGATAGTCCTGTCGAACTGGTGACCTATGAAAGTAGTGATGACTCACATAGCAATATTGACGTTTAACCTTAAACGTTTGGTCAAGTAAAACAGATCTCGCTTCATTCATGCTCTGTGTGAGATCAGTGGGTTGGAGTTATGAACCAAACACCTTATTTTAAATTTGCAGAAGGGGCGAGTACATGTGGAAGGTATTCGCGCTCTCCACGTTGACACGTTTGAGATATTCATTTTAAAGACTTTTGTACCTTATTTTGTTCAATAAAATACTCTTATATTCATTTTTACGTTTTAGCCTTATAGTACTTGACAATTTTGATTTTATTGCATGCTTCTCCCATTCATTTTTGCACTATGTAGAAGCACTTATTCTAAGGGAAAATCAAACCTCACTTTTACCCAGGAAATGGTTATTATATCTTACCATATAAGCATGGTCAGTTAGACAGCAGCACGACCGAAACCATGTCCTTCCGTATGCGGAACAATGCACTACGATTAAGGTTTTACGATGAATTTGATTGAAACGAATGGAGAAATATGTTTCACTTGGATAAGCACCAATTTTTTAATTCCCAAATGGTTTAGGCGTGGCTAAACTACACATCTTTCCTTGTTTCTTGACTTTCTGTTGATGATTCTGCAAGCCCTAACACACCCAACTTGAATTCACTCAGCAGTATGTAAGTTTGTTCAGACATTTGTTGCTCAGTATACACTATTTCCGATGGATAAATAAAACTGCCTTTTACAGTTACCGAGATTTCCAGTAAATTATGTTTGCAATATCAAGGATTAAGAGAATGCGCATAGAATTAATTTTTGTCTCAGATTTGGAATGATGTTATTTTTCCACTTGTGTGAAGATTTTTTCGAAATTTATATGTGACCTTCACACTTCTTACTAAGACCTCATTTGATGAAATTGTTCTAAATAACAAATCTAAACTGATATAAGAAGTCATTTGTAATGTAGCCGTGAACGTCAGTAATGTATACCAGAAATGACTATAGCGTTACACCCATGTATTAATGTTCAGTTTCATGTTAGCGATGCAAATAGGCTTTCCTATTTACTAGTCAATCAGTCATGAATTATGCGGCACCCAGTTTATGGCCTAATAAACGGACTAAAATCTTTAAACATTTTAGCCCATCTAAAGTTTCTGTCACATCTCATTAAATGCAGAAGTGTGGTTTGATTTATTTATTGTGGGACAATTCTTGTAAATGTTTCTCTTCAAAATAAAACTGACTCGTCTACCAGGTACTGGGCTATAAACCACACTCTAAGTGTGAGGGCTAATGACAGCATCCGGCTCTTTAGACTGAAGTATGTTGGTCAGGGTTCTAACCTGGGAATTAGTGGCTAGAAGTTGGAAGTCTTAACCACTAAGCTGCTTTCATTATGATATCATAAGGGAAGTAAACTCGAAATACTTTAACCAAGACATATCAGTTTGTGTATATGAAGAGAATAGTAAAGCCGTCTTTCATTGGTTTTGTTAATTGCGCACCGCTTGTGTGGTGTACAGATTCATAAAACTTTTGCTATGTTTTATTATCAGTAGTATTACATTACTTCAGTATTATTAACTTTTTTCAGCTGCATCGCTTGTATGACAGATTCAAATATTTTGAAGCGTGTTTGGGAGGGTAAGGTTCCAGCTTGCTTTACGTTGGCACAAGAGGATTTGGCGCATGAAGATCATGCTCCTCCGCCTATATATGTGAGTTTATGAAATGTTATTTCTCAGACTGATTTGTCATAAATCTTTGGTTTATATATCTTCAGCGGTTGGTTCTCTTTATTTAAGGCGAAAGTATTTGAAACTTTTGAACAGGCGTTTTACACTATAATCAAGAAGCTAATATAAGTACTCTGTAGTCTATCAAATAGGTCGCGTGTTTTATTCATATATATATATATATATATGTCAGCCTTCGTTGGAGACTTGAAGTTTATTAGGAAATTTTATCTGTCGTTATTAGCTTTTAATAATTGATTTACTGAAAAGTTTTATAAATTAGTGTATTGGTTCAAATTATTATCAGATTTCCAGTTTTTCTCAACCCAGCTATATCGAATGTCGACTCAAAATTCGGTTCTAGATATTATGAATCTAAATAGCTACGAACGTTATCAAAAATGCCTTAACTAAGTAGCCAGTGACTATCCTGCCCTGGTTTGTATCACATTCTTCCTGAACTGCAAAATACACCTAGTGGCTGAACAATATTGATCTTTGTTATGCTCTTACTTGGACTGTATTTTTCAGGCCTCATTTTGTCCTTATGACATCCTTATTGTATTACATCATAAAAATTACATAAGCTAATATCCACCTAAAAATGATTCAACGTTGTCTACAGCAGTGCATACCAGTATATCCTTATCAGTATACAATTTGTGAACGTCAGTTCTCCCAGTTGTTACTTAACTTTTTAATATATTTCAGCTTTGTGTCAGTAAGCATAATTTATATAAATGTTTTTGTCTTGAAATAATTTTTCTCTCCTATAGATGTTCCTTCCTCGTGTTTCTTATTTTCCATTGGTTACTGAAAAAGTTATAAGACAATTCAGTCAGTTTTCTGAATGTGCACTCAAGACTGCATCCAAAGATATGACCTCTGAGACACGGGGCAAATTAGAAAATGAAATGCAATATACTCAATCCGATCAGATTGATACTTTCAAACAGCATCCTTTAATACACGAATTTTGGCTTGAATATGCTCATCAACCCTTGAAATGGTATGAAATATTGTTTAAAAAATTTGCTACCTTATTTATTATTAGTTAAACCACAAATTTTCCAATTGACTTGCGAATCATTTTAACAGAGGCATCAAAGCTCCAATTGATTGATCCACGATCCATGACTGTCTTTGACCAAACCAACTACTTTTATTTCAAGACGTACAGTTTCTTGTAACACTTGACGATCTAAAAAAGTATGACTTCAATGTAGTTTGTCTTATAGGAATCAATTTCCTAAAGACGCAATTCTAAATTAATCCCCAGACTGTCGAACATTGAGTCTTAGTTTGATCAAAGTTAGAACATGTAAGCTATTTGGCTTAATAAACTTTATCTGTCTCTAAAACGTAAATGAATACTGTTAGCATACAAAAAACAATTATTACAGTCTATTAAACAGGGGAAAGGAGTGATATAAATAACACACCGAACGGTAATTAGAGGATAAGAAAAAATGAGTCAACGAAACTTAATATCTTCAGTTTGGGGTTGTGGGGATTGTCAAATTTCCTTGAAATCATGAACTGATCAGTGTTAGATCACCATTAAAAACCTGGAAGCACTGGACAGCCGTTTGTCCTAGTATGGGACTCTCGGAGTTCTAGTGAGAATCCGTGAGCAGTGGAGTTCAACCGTGTCGGGTGTGAGGCAGTTACCGACCAAATATAATGAAAGATGGTCGCGTAACATCGTGCATTGGTTAAAGTTAGAGATTGACATCTTTGGATGCCAACTCACTGGTCTAGAAGTTAAGCGTTCGCTGAATAGGTCACCAGGCGTTTGTTTTTTCCTCTCTGATAAAGTCCACGGATTCTAATATTAAGAATTCACTTTAACGTTTTAGTCACCACCGTCTGATAAATGTTACAAACTATGTGATATTGTTGATCTAAAAAGGTTCAAATCCCCAATCAACGGAGAGATCGGAATGAAGAGGTTAATTCCATGTTAGTTTTATAATAAAAACCCAAATAAATTACAGAATGAGCCTCAGGAAGTTAATCTGATGTATAAAAATTGGTCTCAGAAATCACTGACAATCTGCATATAATCTGCATGGATATCGAAAACCAATGTCTTGTCGTGTCCATTATAATGAATAAGTATTAGTAAGTGATAGTAATGATAAGTATACCATAATATGATCAGAAGTTGGTTCCTGTTACGTATACACACCTCACTAATAGTTTCCTTGTTTTTTCCTTAATTCGTTTTTTAATTAAGTCTTTTCTGTCGAAGTTTGGTAGCATTTTTCTCTGTTCTGATAACCATGATAAATTATTTCGTATGGTTCACCTGTACAACTCTATGTGTTTGTAGCTGTATGACTGCAAAATATTTCCCGAATTGCTTCGTTTGCTCTGTGATGTTCCGGACATCATATAACGTTGTAAAGATTTAAGTATTTCACATTGTTTAGCTTTCCTATTAAACTTGAATGTGTATGTTTTGTATGAAGTAATTACCTGCGGGTGGATTTCTGTATTAAATTCCCGTGCTGTCGCACACTGAGTCTTAGCAGAGTTATAGTCATCAAAACAGGTAACTATTTATCTAACAATTAGAATTTGTTTCTAAAATATCTATTAATACAATTAGTACAATAACGCAAAATTGTAGTCAATTGCATTAGAACGATAGACACACGCATACGAAATTGTAGCGGAGTCACTGTAGCATCTGGGCTACCTGTTCCTGTCATCTAGATATTTCAACAAGTTATCTATTTTTGTTTGTTTTAATATATCATTATGTTTATTAATCGCACAACCTATTCTGCTGCGTTTCTGAAAAGTGTACAACCTTTCGTTGTCAAAGTTACAAACAACTCAATAAGAGACAATGTGGTTGCTGGCAATATACAACCAAAAGAATGCATATTATTCAGATGTTCATTTAGTGAACTGCTAACATCTAACTGGCGATCACTCAATATTTATCGCCAGGACCGACGAAGAAGAAAGAAACGGAAACTTGTTGAAATACTTTACGCTGAGAATTCTATATTGTACCAAAAATATAATATTGAATAAAGCTGATAATAATAATAATAATAATAATAATAATAATAATAATAATAATAACGATAATTAGTCATGTTTTTATAACTAGTGCAATCTCATGATTGGTAGTTATCAAAAAATGGTCTGAGTAATAACCATTCTGTGATCAAATGAGTCTTGAGTGTTGGGTGTTTAATTTGAATACTACTAGTTGATGCACTCGTATTGATAGAAATGAACACACTTAACAAGTCAGTTGTGAAGTTAGGTATATTGACCATAAAACCATACGTAGTACTTTCTTTATGCATCTTCAGATTAATTTAAATGATTTTCTCTTTCTACACTTTTTGTATCTTACAGGCACTATCCGATCGGACTTGTATTTGATATGTGTGCAGATACAGTGGACATTCCATGGAAGATAACAGTTCATTTTAGTGTATGTGGTCGATATAAATCATGTGTATTTATACTTGCTACACACTTATAATCTGACAGTTATCTTTTACTACTCAGAATTATTGTTGGTTGGCAGATCACTAAAATTGATCACAACAATATCACTATCTTTGCGAATCTAAAATCGGCACGTAGTAAATAAATATAGATAATACTGATTGGCATTTCTATGGCATTGTAAAGTCTTTTAAAATGTTGTTTATCTGAGTTATTTGGTATTATATGGGTCTCAAATCAATCATTTTCAAATCAGCATAAACATAACCAGAATTCTCCACCTTTTAATAAGCAGTTCTTTAATTTATGTACTAAGCTGCGCTGCAATTCGCATTGTTTCCATTTAATATTTTAATTCCTATGTGGTACTTTTGCTCTCTCCTTAACTTTAGTATACTCACTTAATTGTAGATAAATTAGTTCATCGAAGTCAACTAGTTTTCCAACATGAACATTTCAACTTTTAAAAAAAGTTATTGTGTAATCTCCACAAGTTTCCTATGCTAATAATAAGTTAAGGTTAAATGCTATTAGTGTTTGTGACAATATGAAGTTTGTAAAACATAAAATATTCGGTCATTAAGGTGCGAAGGGTAACTGTAAGTACACTGAATCGGAAACTAAAAAGCATGTTATGCGAATAATAATCAAGAATTCTCGGTGAAAAGAATTCTGTGTAACAAAATAACCATAGGAAATTAGAATATCTGTTTAATCAATAAGTAACGGAAATAAAAAAAAGCTTAAGGTCACGGAAACACAATAAATCTAACTGACTTCTGATATACATAACTCTGGTTTAATCGAATATTTGTCTTTGTGTGAATTAGATTCAGACGTTGGCTTGTGGGAATATTTAAGCGAATCTTGTAGGTTATATCCCCACCAATGATAGCAACGACGAAATTAAAGATCAGTTCTACAAGCGGCTGCAGTCAATCATGGAGAAATGCCCAAGAAAGGACCTAACTATTCTGATGGGAGATCTAAATGCCAAAGTCGGAATAGACAACACTGGATATGAAGATATTATGGGACGACATGGACTGGGAGAAAGAAACGAAAATGGGGAAAGATTTGCAAATCTATGTGCATTCAACAAATTGGTCATAGGCAGCACAATATTTCCACACAAACGTATACACAAAGCTACATGGATCTCACCGGACCACACTACAGAGAACCAAATAGATCATATTTGCATCAACAAAAAATTCCGAAGGACAATGGAAGATGTGAGAACCAGGAGAGGAGCTGACATAGCTTCAGATCACCACCTAGTTGTAGCCAATTTAAAACTGAAGCTAAAAAAGAACTGGACAAGTGGACAAACAGCAATACAAAGGTTCAATACAGCCTTCCTTCGAGATACTGACAAACTCAATGAATTCAAGATAGCTCTCAACAACAGGTTCCAAGCCTTACAAGAAGAAGAAACTACTATGGAGGACAACTGGAAAGGCATCAAGGAAGCATTAACTTCAACGTGTCAAGAGGTTCTGGGTCTAAAGAAATACCATCATAAGGAATGGATCTCTACAGAAACAGTGGACAAGATCAAAGAAAGGAAGAACAGGAAGGCAGCAATAAACAACAGCCGAACACGAGCAGGAAAAGTCCAAGCACAAGCTGAATACATAGAAGCAAACAAACAAGCGAAGAGGAGCATTAGAGCCGACAAGAAGAAATACGTTGAAGAACTAGCAACGACGGCAGAAAAAGCTGCTAGAGAAGGAAATATGAAACAGCTTCACAATACAACGAAGAAACTATCAGGGAAATACAGTAAACCAGAGAGGCCGGTCAAAGACAAAGAAGGCAGGAAAATCACCGAAATTCAACAACAGCGTAACAGATGGGTAGAATACTTCAAGGAACTCCTGAATAGGCCGGCTCCAATGAATCCACCGGACATCGAAGCAGCACACATAGATCTTCCTATAGATGTCAATCCACCAACTACGGAAGAAATTAGAATGGCCGTCAGACAAATCAAGAACGGGAAAGCAGCAGGACCCGACAACATACCAGCTGAAGCACTGAAATCAGACATCGAAGCAACCACAAGCATGCTTTATCTTCTATTCAAAAAGATTTGGGAGGAGGAACAATTGCCGATGGACTGGAAAGAGGGACACCTTGTCATGATTCCAAAGAAAGGAGATCTGAGCAAATGTGAAAACTACAGAGGCATTACACTACTGTCAATACCAGGGAAAGTCTTCAACAGAGTGTTGCTGAACCGGATGAAGGATGAAGTAGACACCCAACTTCGAGATCAACAAGCTGGATTCCGTAAGGATCGGTCGTGCACAGACCAAATTGCAACACTACGGATCATCGTCGAACAATCAGTTGAGTGGAACTCATCATTATACATCAACTTCATTGATTATGAAAAGGCATTCGACAGTGCAGATAGGAGGACATTATGGAAACTTCTTCGACACTACGGAGTTCCTGAGAAGATTGTCAATATTATCCGGAACTCATACGACGGACTACAGTGCAAAGTAGTGCATGGAGGACAGCTGACAGATACATTCCAAGTAAGGACCGGAGTCAGACAAGGTTGTTTACTCTCTCCCTTCCTCTTTCTTCTGGTGGTCGACTGGATTATGAAGACCTCGACATCTGAAGGAAAACACGGAATACAATGGACAGCTCAGAACCAATTAGACGATTTGGACTTCTCAGATGACCTAGCCCTCCTATCACGTACACACGAACAGATGCAGATGAAGACAGCCATTGTAGCAGCAATCTCTGCATCAGTAGGCCTCAGCATACACAAAGGGAAAACTAAGGTCCTCAAATTCAAAGCGGAGAACAGCAATCCAATCACACTTGATGGCGAAACTCTGGAAGATGTAGAGTCCTTCACATACCTGGGAAGCATCATCGATGAACAAGGAGGATCCGATGCAGACGTAAAGGCGAAGATCGGCAAAGCAAGGGTCGCATTCCTACAATTGAAGAACATATGGAACTCAAAACAACTTTCAACCAATATCAAAGTGAGAATCTTCAATACGAACGTCAAGGCAGTTCTACTGTATGGAGCTGATACTTGGAGAACTACAACAACCACAATCAAGAAAGTACAAGTATTTATAAATAGCTGTCTACGCAAGATACTCAACATCCATTGGCCGGATACCATCAGCAATAGCCTTCTGTGGGAGAGAACAAACCAACTTCCAGCTGAAGAAGAAATTAGGAAAAGACGATGGAAATGGATAGGACATACATTACGCAAATCATCAAACTGCATCACAAGTGCTAACTTGGGATCCTGAAGGGAAGCGAAAAAGAGGAAGGCTAATGAACACATTGCGTCGGATAATAGAAGCAGATATGAAAAGGATGAATAACAACTGGACGGAGCTGGAAAGGATTGCCCAGGACAGGGTTGGATGGAGAATGCTGGTGAGCGGCCTATGCTCCTTCACGAGGAGTAACAGGCGTAAGTAAGTAAGTAAGTGTAGGTTATATCAGATGAATGATCCAAGGTTAACTGTCAATAGTCTTTTAAATTTCGAAGATCTACACTGTTTTGATGGACAACGAAACAAAAAATAGATCTTGATAAATAATCTAATTACCCGTCTCACTCCAGAGAAGCACTGAAGTTGTCCAGTTGTAATAAATCATCTCATGCAGAAATAATAGAAACTATATAAAATTTCTTTCTTATTGGTTTTTCCAGATAGTTTTCATGTTTATCACTAGTTATATACACTTGAGGTTCATGAACAGCATTTTCTTTGGAGCTGTGCGAATTATTTTACCAAGTCCTATGTGATATTTTCTCCCCGGAAATTAACCTCATCTTGTAAAAATTTTGGTGAACAATTTTTTATCATAGCATAAACAAGGAGAGTGAATAGGCTTTCACTTCACTATTAAGATCCACTCTTAAAGCGTATTTGTTGACTAGTGTAGATTTGTCATGAACTAATCTTGCTAGTGTCTAGTCATTCCTTTTAGTGTATTAAACATCATAAACAGAAATATGGAAGTCTAATATTTTTTTGCCTCTGCATCAGTGGGCCTCAACATACACAAAGGAAAAAGCAAGGTCCTCAAACACAACACGGAGAACACCAACTCAATCACACTTGATGGAGAAGTTCTGGAAGATGTGGAGACTTTCGTGTACTTGGGAAGCATCATCGATGAACAGGAAGGATCGGATATGGACGTAAAGGCGAGGATTGACAAAGCAAGGGTCGCATTCCTACAATTGAAGAAGATATGGGACTCAAAGCAACTGTCAACCGGTGTCAAATTCAGAACCCTCAATACGAACGTCAAGACAGTTAGTTCTATTGTAAGGAGTCGAAATTCGGAGAACTACAACCGTCATCAAAAAGGTATAATCAATTATAAACAGTTGTCTACGCAAGATACTCAATATCCTTTGATCGGATACCATCAGCAACAACCTGTTGTGGGAGAGGACAAACCAGCTTCCAGCTGAGGAGGAAATTAGGGAAAGACGTCGGAGGTGGATAAGACATACATTACTTAAATCACCTAACTGCATCACGAAGCAAGCGCTAACTTGGAATCGTGAAGGGAAACGGAAAAAGGAAGTCCAAAGAACACTGGAATCGGAAGCAGACATGAAAAGAACGAATAGCAACTAGAAAGAACTGGAAAGGGTTGCCCAAGACAGGGTTGAATGGAAAGTGCTGGTGGGTGGTCTATGCTCCTCGACGAGTGGTAACGGGCGTCAGTAAGTAAATAATATTTTTTTCATCGTAAATCGCACTTAATAAAATACTTCGGAGTTTTTATGATTTCAAATTTGTCAACTGTTCTTATTTTCTTACGGTATATTATTTTAGAATTACCCAACTGACTTGCTTTTATCCCCACCGGTAAGTCGACTAGCTGTTGAAGCACATTTCCTGTCGATGATTAAAGAAGCCGATGCTTTAAAGCATCGTAGCTACGTTATCAATCAAATGCAAGCTAGAGATCATCGGCAATTATGGAATGGCTTACTACACTTTCGATATGACCAATTTTGGTCGATCAATAGCAAATTAATGGAGCCTCTTCCACAAAATACCAAGGGTAAGTGTTCTTATATCTCGTTACAGATGTTTAATATTAAGTCAGCTAAATAAGAAACAGATTTCTTCGCTTTCACACTTTACGCGTCGTGGTACTCTAGATAAAACTTCCCGCAAACATAACACTAATATCCTTGTTTTTGATAGTCAGTCAGTCAGTCAGTCAGTATCAACGTAGAACTCCGTACGTACGTACATCAGTTCGAGTTGCCACACCACATTAGCACAGAGATGCAGTTGTCCATTCAAATCCCATAGTGGTAGAGGTAGCAAGAGTATAAGCAGTAATCGGGAAGATTAGGGTTTTTGATAGTGCTATGAAATAGCACTTCTGTTTATATACATCGAATTGCTTTACATTAAATGATAACATTATCTAATATTCACTTGATTTTAAGCTGCATGTTCTAGTATCTGAAATTATTTACATATCTTGACAGAATACATTTTACTATTGAGACTTTCGTTTTGTTACTAATCTCCCTTTATTTGTATCATCTCGGTGGAGTGATGTCTTAGTGTTTAGGGCGTTCAACTTTTAAGCCACCAAATCACCGGTTCGAACCTCATTTCAGCTACTCCGATTCGGGCAACTGGACAGTATTATTAACCCTCGCACTTGGAGTGTGTGGCCCATACCAAAGTTCCTAATGAATAAACCAAATTACCTTTTTTTCATTTATGTTGTTCTTTTTGTAAATATCTCAACATTTCTGTGTTTTCATGAAGTTTATTCATACAAATCGGTGTATTTTTTTCTGAGGTTATAAGCTTTTACTTACCTGCTTTATCTTGTCATACAACAAGCAGCTTTTACAAACAAGGAAATGTAGGTTCATTAGATATCGAAATTATTTATCTGTTTACGCGATTAGGAGTGAACTTGTCTGTAGTCAAAGAAAACAAAATGTAAAGATACTCAAGGTTATGAAATTGTTACCCATTTAAATGACTGTTACCGGAATCCACTTCTGTAAATTCAATGGGAATACTGTACATAACGTATATATTTACCCGCTACCATAATTCTTCATTTCTGACCACTTTCATGGGTGTCTTTTGCCTTTCTGTTGACTGTTACAGCTGATATTAAAGAGTGTATGGTCCAGATTGCACACTGCCCAAAAATGATCTAACGGAAGAGAACCAGTATCATCTTACGCATAATGTGTTAGCATTGGTTCATCGAAATTTCGTATATTACTGATTATTATTGTTACCTCATAATTTCCCATTTATTAAAAAGAAGGTATCTAATTAATGTGAAAGAATTTTTCGTTTTGGCGAATCCATTGAATCACTATGAAAACGTCATCTGTGTCATTGCTTACAAATCATGTCTCTTTTTATTTTCGCTTAAATTAGTTCAATAAGCCGTTGTGGATCATTGATAATAAAAAACAATCGACCTCATGAAACGAATATTTTTACTACACTGTATAAATGTGAACCAAAAATTATTTTTAGTCTCAACAAGAATTTTACAGATGAGTGAAAACTCGGAGGTTTTTGTACTTTTCCATTTCATCATGACACATTCTACATCATGGCATAGACACATGCATAACAACGAATGTGGCTATTTGCAAATGTACTCTGTACTTGGTCTCAAACATTTTATTCGACTCAGTGGGCTAATCGTAGAGAAATTTAACTACTTTCTGATTAAAATGACTGTTTTCACTCCCAATTGAATATTTTCTCTGCTCCCAAATCATATCATTTATTATACGTTGTTTCTCTTGATATTCATTTTTAATTTGAAGTATGTCCTATATTTATTACCACGTTTTTCTTCAATAGTCTTTTCGAAAACTTAAAAGTTGAGGTGATTTGTGCTATTGTTTATGCCATGTTTTTGAATCTTATCATATCTCTTATTTGTTCCTAATCGTCATCAATAATTTAATTCTTACAATATAAACTTAGTGCCCGATTTCCTACATATGGCACAGAATAGGAAACTGCTGAGACCGTTTCAGTTCCTAAATGTTAAATTTTATAAACTTCCATGTATTGGACACCAGCTTCGCTTTATTGTAGTACATTATATTGACTAAATCGAACAACAGTAATAAATATATTTGGAAATTTTTTATTGTATTCGAGTAAGTAGATTTTTTAAACAGACATTACTACGATAAATCTGATCATAACAACATTACATGCTGTGCGTCAAGAAAAATCCTGTTTAGCAGTGTATAAAAAAGTCCTACATTTATTCACTCACGCTTAATTTAATCTTAGCACCTTACTTGTCTTAAAATACATATACGTATTGAAGAGTAATATGAATTTCTTCTACACTATTTACTATTGTGAGATGTTCTTATTCACCTATCATCTTTAGATCTTCCTTTAGAGGAAATGTCTGCCCCTGGAATTCCAGAAAATAAACCATTGTCTTCAAGTCTCAATAACATGTCATCTTCAAAGTGTAGAACTTTTCGTTACATTCCATGTCGTCTTTATTGTGTTTCTGAGAATTCAAGTTCCACACCATCTGGTTTCATTCAAAAACTTATCCGTCCTTTAAATGATGACGGTTCGCTTACTTCACTTCAAGATGCTATCGAAATTCTTTTGCATACAAATAAAAATCCACTTGTACAAAATACCAAACCAAAAGGTAATCTTTGTAAGTATTCATATATTATTTCACTTTTTAAATAATTGTAGAGGCTAATTTCCTCTATATCTGACTCCGATAAATAGTATCCTGTTGAGTATTTAACACGGGCTAAATCTCCTAGTATAATTATGGATTTACTCTAGATTATTCAAAGGCCTGAACACCAGTTGTAGAGATAGTTTATTGTAAAATATTAGTAAAATCCACAAGCGTGCAGAAGGCAAGCACACTGGGAAACGAGTGAGACAGTGTGTCTGTAGGAGTTTATAAATTATTGATTTCTGTGTGTTACAACCAATGGGAGAATATATTTAAATACTGATGTGCAGACACGCGCTCAATCAGACTCACACATAATTTTACATAGTGGAATAAATGTCTAAATTACAGTGAGCAGACAAGTAATACAATAATATTAATGGTTGAAATTGAGTCAATTGTAGCTAGACCACCATGGAAAACCTGGAAGCAGTGGACGGCCGTTTCGTCCTAATGTAGGACTCCTCAACAGTGCTCATCCACGATCCCGTCTCACGAGATTCGGACCCAGGACCTGTCACTCTCGTGCCTATTAATGTCAAATCGATCTACTGAGAATAAGTAATTTTATGATAAAATCACATTAATAACTAAGATTGTAAATATGTCATTGGCTAACTACTTACTTTATGCCATCGAAATCGAGTAATTAGTTTATTAATGCTACTTAAAATTCAAACTTTATTTTACTTTCAAGCACTTAGCAAATGATATTCATGCTCTACTAACTACTATGCCTGTAAACCAAGCAATGTAGTCTTACCTTTCTGTGACAATGTTCGAACTTGTAATAACGTATATGTTAATTGGCCATTTAGCCTAATGTATATCCTGACTTTTGTTACGCGTTTGGTTACCTTTTTCATTAAAACAAAATTGCTAAGCATTATGGAGAATAAAAGATTGTATTTTATTTAGTTTTGTACAGATCGAGGTCAAAACGTCTCTATTGAATAGAAAATGTGATTATACTCTCGAAATTATGTTCTTCGAATGTTATTAAGGATGAGTTACGAAAATGTCGATAATTCGAGTAAAGCATGTACTTCATTAATTACATCCTTTTCTTATTTAAATGATTAAAAAATACACAGGAAATGAAAGCGTACTTTAAAAATATACGTTACTTTTCCTTCAAAGCACTTTCGTGCTTTATGATCCCATTTATCCAACGTGATTCAAATAAGCTTCGTCTATACAACTGATTGATGTACCTACATTTGTAAATCATGTTTGTCTTGTCCAATATGGTCTGATTCTTTTGATTTGTAATTTTGATGTAACTATGTTGTACCATTTTTGTCCTTCAGGGTATCTGTTTTTCATCCATGGTATCACATTACCCCACGAAACACCGATGCAATGGATCAGCGAACACTTATCCTATCCTGACAATTTTGTGCATGTTGTTGCACGTCCTCAAAGCCATTCTCATCGGATTAAAATTCATAATCCTTCATACATGTAAATTTTTCCTAACATTACGGTATATTGTCTTTCAAGTACTTTGAATTTAAATTTTCCAGTCCCAACAATATATGTTACAGGGTCGATAACTTTGGTATCTTTATACGATTATGATGATAATAAATTCTTACCTAATCTGCTTTCTTATCTCTTGTAGTTTTATTGAGATTAAACCCGGAATGTGTCAAACATTAAATTAATATATTAGTACAAAAAATATGTATTTATAAGTATTGTACATTCCCAAGCAAAATGATTCGGCATTGTAAATTACAGGACTGTAATTACAAATCTTATTGGAAGAGACCTAGAAAAAAATACTTTTAAAGAAAGTGATAGTAGTTCGTTGATCTGCATTATTAAATATAAATTGCTGCGATATTCTAGTAATTATTTTCTGTTTTATCGTAGTTTGATATCATTGGTAAGTCACACATTATGAATCATAAGGTGGTGATGTTAGCGTCACCATATATTTTCCATTTACATATTTTCACTGGATATCGTGTTAGTCCGAGTTATCATGCATCCGAATCCATGATGTATATTACGTAGAAAACAATTGTATATAATGTATGAACTTACATTAACTTTAACGTAATATTGTATCGCACATTCACTACTGGATTTCATGCATCTTATTACGTAAATTTTATAATATCTCAATAACCGTTATTCAATTTGTACATCTTACTATTGTGTCAGAAGTGCATACGATGTCGTAAGAGAAATTTGGAAATAATTTTTTCGGCACACCCAAAGTATTATAAAATTTTATAAGGATCGTGTGGAGGATATGATCCTAAATATCACCTGTCTTATTTAGGCGTGTATTGCGTTTACTAATAATCTTTGACATTATCATGTGGTTTATCGTAAACAAATATCATTCAACAAGTTTGCCTGTTACCATTGATTACGTGTTGTGAAGATCCCAACTATAAAATGATTTTGAGTAGGCTTAGCTACACTACTAAAATAAAACGTAGAAACTCACATAATGTTCCGTTGATTTGTCTTGCCAAGTTAGTCAGTAGTTCAGGATAAGAGTTAGGAAGGACAGATAATAACAAGCTTTAGCAGAAGACAAGGTGTAATTGGACGATGAATGCTGTTGAACATATTGGATGTGAAATAAAGACGCGAAGACGATTTTCGATACCTGTGACATAGATATTGGCAAATCATTAGGAAAATTTAGGCAATAATGAGTCGTCAATGTGTGATTGTTATGCGCAATACATTTTAGAAACTTATTTTCCTTAACCGAAATGGTTTTTGTAGAGAAAGAGTTACATTCTATGGTGAGGATGTTACTTCAAGCAGATAAACATCCGTTATAGAGACTTATAATTTTGATATTCTTTGCTAGCCACTTTAAGCATGAGAGAATTTCAACCATGTAGTGGCACAACCATTTATTAAGCATAACCTCATTATCGAATGTAAGACCCCATTCTTTCAGAATCACCTTCACCAGTATGTTAGCCCACTATCTAACAAATGTTGACTTCTGAATTACCTTTTTTCAATGAATTTAGTTCATTCATGGTTATTTTCCTGTTATTTGCTAGGTACAGTTTGTTATGTTCAAACATGGTTCGACAGGTCTCATAAAAACTCACATGGCTTAAGGTGTTAACTGTTCCTTATAGTATTTTGTGCTACCATATAACTTGTAGGAATGGTAATCAAAACTGTGTTTTTTTATTTGGACTCAAATAATAGCCGTGACATGATGCTAACAGTTGGATAGTAAGAAAATAATTAGGCTCAGTTGTAACAAGATAAATACGAGTATAACAAAAGTTAAATAACTTCATGATCGCTTTTCTCAGATTCTTAAAACTACAAACTAGATAACTTTTTGTCAATGTTACCAGTAAAGAGCAACATTTTAGTGGTCATTTAAAACCACAACCGAATAGACCAAACTTTATAAGATGTATATATTTGTGTAGGTATAATTACCAAGGTTTGACCTGATAATTTCGAGTAAGTTGAGGATATAGTGGATCTTTATCAATAAATAATATATTTGTAATATCCCAATGAGTAGAAAAATGAGATTTTCTGACGTTTTGTGACTTAGTGTAAGCCACTTCAGAAAATAAATAACCAAATCAAAATTAATCCAAGTTTAAGTAGTACAACAGAACAACAAGAATATTATGTGATCAATAAAAAAAACAGGTCTAAATAAATCAATGTCATGTCATGTCATTTCGGTCAAGGTGATTCATAAGCGACATGTATGTAAATTCACTTGGGATTGTTTTGCTTGTATCTTCCCTTTGAGGTTTAAGACTGCAATTGATCAGTCTGTTATTGGCATATGTGCATACTGTACGTATGCCTCGATATTGCCTTAACTCACAAGCTCTTATAAGCAAAGATGGATAGTGGCTAGCGAATAATATTGTCCGACCGGCCATTTTTTTTTAAAAAAAACCCCACCCCAATAAAAAAATTTTCCACCCCCAAATTACAATATTTTTCATCCCGTGTTTCGTCCAGTGAAATGGCTAGTTTCAAAAATTAGATTTAATTGAATAATATTGTCCGACCGGCCATTTTTTTTTAAAAAAAAACCCCACTCGTCAGCTGGATGCACCTGCATCTCACTTGATGTTCACTCTGGGACTCGGACCCAGTACCATTCGCTCCAAACGTCATCGCGTTATTCACTCAGCTACTGAGTCCTGATAGCCGGTTGACATTTTGCCCACGGCAATTAAGATTCCCTACCACCCATTTCTAAAAAAATGTATGGTGTCAAAGAAAAATTTAGCGATCGGTGATTGGTGTACTTGTTTTGCAAGTGTGTGCTCAAGTGATAATGAACAAACATTTTGTCACCTTTAATAATTTTGTAATTGGTCGTAAACTGTTCATCTTTGCAATGTGATTAGTTGAAATTGAAATCGTATCTAGAGCTGTGATTGGATGTCAGAATTTTCATTTTTACACTTGAAATTTAACGATAATGAATAAATCTTTTTGTGTAATGTAAGTCTTGTAAGAAATTTAGACATTTATAGGAAAAAACACCAACTTAAGTGCAATCCTACTGTTACTGAATGCGTATTGGGATAAATTTTTTATTTCCGATCAACAATTTTAATGTCACGAGTACTTATATATATCACATAAAAAGAAAGTTTTTGGAAAAAAGCAACTGAAAACCGGTTTGAATATTTGATAATAGTGATTACTGAGTAAGGTCGGTAGTCAAATCTTTAATACCAAATTAATAAACAAATTATCACTAAAGTGTATGCATAGGTTTTTTGGTAACACATGGTCTGTTAGTTCGAGAAACAAATCAACATATTAATAAATCATCATGATAACTTACTAGTTGCAATATTTATGATTCAGGTGAAGCAACCGTAGACCATCATTAAATGAACTGACTTTGACAGTATATGAATGTAGTAATAAATTTAACCGAAATAGGCACTTAATATTTAGTGAAAGTTTTTTTTGTAAATGTTCATTCTTAATGAGAATTAGAAAACGTTAGATTTCAATGCGGTTAATTTTAAAAGTCCATTGAAAGGGTTTATTGTGTTCACTTGTAAATTATTTGTAGTTCTGTATTTTAAAATTAATTTTTTGGTCGTAATAAAAACTAGTGTGTTTAATCAGTCATGTGTGAATATTGTTAACCGCCGTAATATGAAACCTGAATTATCTAGACATTATGAATGTAACCATTTTTGACAAGCATTTGAAATATCAGTTTCATGAAGTGTAAATGAACAAGCCTACGTCGTCTGACTGACTCAACAAATATCCATCGACTTTAAACGTATAAATATGAATAAGGTCAACTGTATCAATGAACATTTACAATGCTATTATTATTTATTGTCCTCATTAATACTATTATTATTATTATTATTATTATTATTATTATTATTATTATTATTATTATTATTATTATTATTATGTCAATTGACAAGATTCAATCCTCAGACTATGCATTTCATTGACACAAAATTTTTTGCATTTTCAATTTTCCTATAATGCTTAGTCACTTATTGTGACTGAACACTTTACTGCAAATCATCCCGACCTTTAGTGAATGACCTTTTTAATTTGTAAATATATATATCGTTACAGATGTAAACGTTAACCATTGTTAACACATTATATTGTCAAATTCATAAATGTCATGCCTTATTTTTGGACTTTATAAAATATTAAAATTATGGACTTATAACTGTATACTGTGATGATGAAGCTAATGGAAACGATTGTTCGCTAAATAATTTTTTATTTTTGAATATTTTAAGGGAATTTTTAACTGGTACAATGTGATTGTACCAGTAATAAATAGTTGAAGAGGTGTCCAAATGAATACGGTGATATAATCAGTAGTTATGAATAACAATGGAGGCTTAGTTTACGATCAGACGTACTTCTTACGTACGCATAGTTCTGGTTTCAGGTACTTTTAATATAAAACAAGAATATGAAATTCTTGTTCTTTGTATTCATGAAACGGATAATATGCTTATTTCTTTTTACACTTACTATACGACCTTTTATCACATGAATCATTTCAACGATGATGGTTTCAACTTGTTTTATAATGTCATTATTTTATTCATAAGGAAGATAATTTTCTTCATTGTGTTTACTTCTCTATGAGCTTTAATCACATTCATCTTTGTAATAATATTCACTAATAAATGTCATCATAAATTTATTGACCTAACGACAAAATTACGATTTTCACTAATTTAAAATATTCCTATTAAAATGTACTCAAAATGTACTTTTATTAGATAGTTTACAAATGTGTTACTAAAACATGAACGGTAATCACAATAGCCGTTTATAATCTTACAAAACATAAATGCTGGACATTGGGTGTTCATAGAAGCCCTTCATTTAAAAAATTATAAAACAATTTAACAAATTACCTCCTCCGTCTAATACGTTGTGACGAACCGCTAGATCTTATACGCCCATTTCGCCAACACACAAATT